CCCCCCACCCCCCCGTGTCCTGCCCCGGGTCGAGCCTATCCATCGGGCTGAGTCAAATAGGCTTGGGCCGATTACGTAATACCAATTCAGCCAATATTACGCCAGTCTTCTTTCGCATTGCGAAAACCGAGAAAACCATCAAGAACCATCAACAATCTGCCCTTTCATCCTTCCTGAACTTCTTATTCGACTTCCCCCAGACATAATTCTTCCATGTCTCTGCCAACCCAGTTAGTCCTTCTTCCTGGCACACGCCAAACCGCCCTGGGTCCTCTGCCTTCCTTCGTCAAACCTGTCTCTGATTCCCCTGAACCCGACCTGCAACGTGCTATCAAGGCTGTTCTCAATGCAAAAAAAGTTGCCGTCGTCGTCGGTATGTTTCATTCCGCCTTCCTGTTGCAGGCTCCCTCTTGTTATGTTTCAACTTTGATTTTAACTCATCCTCCCCTTTTTTTCTTCCTCTTATCTGTTAAATCTTCCAGGCGCTGGTATCTCGACTGCTGCCAACATTCCCGACTTCCGCTCTTCAACTGGACTTTTTGCCTCGCTCAAGGCTCGATTTCCTCATGCCAAGCTGACCAGCGGGCGCGACCTATTTGATGTTAACGCTTGGAAAGTAAGTTCCCCACCGTCTCATATTTTATTTCATGCTGTAATTTCTTCGAATAATTCTCACCTATGCCTCTCTTCAGGACCCTGATACGCTGAGCCTTCATTTCGGAATGCTGGCAGAGCTGCACAAAATGTGCGGTGCCGCTCAACCCACCGCATTCCACCAATTCTTGAAGCGCCTAGATGACGATGGTAGACTCAGCCGAGTTTATACGTGAGTGCGCACTGAACGCCACATACTCTATAACTAGTCAATCTGACTTGCTTCTCCGCACAACAGTCAAAACATTGACGGACTGGAAGAGAAAGCCGGCTTGACTTATGGTATTCCTGGCGATGATGAGATTCAAAGTCTTTCGTCTCTTAACAATCGCTCTCGTCCAGACCCGCTCACAAGCCCTCGAAAGCGAAATCTCAAGCGCAAGCGCGACGAAAATGGTTCTGCTCAGCTCCCACCCACGCCCCGCTCGACGCCCCCTCCATCCCAAAGTGCACATTTTGAACCTAGTAATTCACAAAGCGAACTCAATGAAATTTGCTCCTCCCAATTATCTAGCGTCTCCACCATTATACCGTCTAATCTCAAACCGAGCTGCCCTGCAACACCCAGATCCAAGCCCAAGACTCGAGCTGACTCGATTGCTGATGCCCCACAAGCACCTATTTCTTCCCGTCCTGCAAGGGCCAAACCTATCGATCCTTTCCCTCGCGTAATTCCACTACATGGTACCTTGAAAAACCTGTCGTGTCTGACCTGCAAACATTCAGTCCTCATGTCGGATTACATTGGTGAACTTGCGGAAGGAGAACCAATTCTGTGTCCGCAATGTCTCTCGTTCGATAACGCGCGTGCAATCTCGGGCTTTCGAACTAGAGGGGTCGGTCTGCTGAAATCCGGTGTTGTCTTGTACGGCGAGGAGCACAACGCCGGCGAGCGAGTAGGCGCAGTGACTAGTCGGGACTTGATGCGAGGCCGCCGACCAGACCTGTTGATTGTGGCTGGAACAAGTTTGAAGGTGCCGGGCACGAAGCGCTTAGTCAAAGAACTGAGTAAGGTGATCAAGCCGCCCACCAGGACTTGCAGTGACTCGGGCGAGGAGGAAGACGAGCAGGAGGAGCAGGAGAGTTCGAGTATCAAGAAACCAGCACCTATCCATACCATCTTCCTCAACAACGAATTTCCCGCGCCGTGTGGAGCTTGGAAAGACACCTTCGACGTCTGGGTTAAGGGCAACGTGGACCAATTCATTCAGCTCGTCAATGAGGAGAAGAAGGTTCAGGAAGATCTGAAGATAAGGAAAGCGCAGGAGAAACTGGAACGAGAACGGAAGAAGGAAGAGAAGATGAAGTCGCAATCGACTCACGCATCATCCCGAGCTTCTACCGTCGCCGAGTCGCTCGTGCCGGATCCGACGGCGTCCTCCAAACCTCGGGCCACAACGACTACCACAGCTAAGCCCAAGAAGCTCATCCTCAAAGTCGCCCCTCAGTCAGACTCGTCGAAGTCTGCCCAAACTAAAGCCAAGCCATCGGTTGCGGGCTTCTTCAAGACTGGTAAAGCTACCGTCGCATCGCAGCCTACCGTCATTGTGACCAAGTCCAACAAGAACCCCACCACTATCAAGATCTCGAAACAAGTTTCTCCCCCTACCTCAAAATCTAACCCCACCACTCAACTTCCTTCTACTCGGAAGAAACCTAATACTAATAATAGCAATCGAGGGACGAGGAGAGCTGCTAAATCCTCTTGAACTCACTCCCATCCCCGTTTGTTGCCTTCCTTCCCTTATGTCGGCTTGGATTTTTTTTTCGTGGATTTGTGCGCGTTTGTCCGGTCTTCTTCTTTCCTTTTTTTTCGTGTTTGCTATGTCCTGAGTCTCTTTCCCCAAAATCCTTTGTTGAGCTTCCTTATGTACTCACATTTGATGTATACTTGAACATATACAGATATAAGTATTTTATTAGCTTTTTGTTGTTGTGTTTTTTTGTCAATTCAATAAAAATAAATCAATAAATAATAATCAAAGCTTCTTTCCTAATTGAAATATTTCTTGAGGGTTATCAGTCCCTTCATGAATCTGTTTTGATGCCCATGGGCTGCTACACCATGCCAAAAGTGAGAGGAATACATGCCAGATCACATGAAGATAACTACATAATGAATTCAGGTCATACACTTATT